ATACACCGTTGTATAGTAATAGCAGCAGATTCATTGGTTTGACAGTCTTTTAATACTTGAACTACTTTATTATGAGACATATTACGCACAATTATATTGTTTATATCAATAAGAATATCACCTTCCATTAATTCTTGACATCTTTGTTTATCCAGTATTTTTTTAACCTATAAAATAATAAATATTCAAATATATAAGATGTATTGATAATGTTTATTAAGATTACTAACCTTTTGCCCATGAGCACTGTCTGCTATAGTAAATCCAAAACCCATTGCACCTTTTACTATTGACATTGTTAGATATAACGGGGAAGGCATATGTTCTTCTAAAATAAGATCTGTACTATTTGGTCTCGCAATACTCATAATTTCTTCAGAAGCATACAGATCAGGCATAGACTTAACAGACTGATTACATAATTCATTAGATGTAGATCTATTATCAACTTTCATCATGTATAATTCTCTATCAACATAAGATAAATCATCTAATTGCCGATCTATCAATTAAAAAAAATAATTAATATTAATAACATTCATTTTTAAGGACCCTATTAAAGTGTATTAATTTTTTTAACTATTTTATACATAAAAGCCAAAATATAACAAATACATTTATGTGTGTATTTTGATAGTTATATCAGTTAATCTATGTTTAATATATTTGGAATAAAACTTTTTTTTAATTTTTTTACCAGAATTTCCAACTGCAACAGTTGTAACAACTTCTGTATTTGGATCATTTGGATCAAATGGTAAAGGATAACCTCTACATACATCTAAACATACAGTTTCACCTGGAACTATTCCTTGAAATACGCTAACCATATCATGATGTGTATATCCAAGTACACATTTATCATTGACATATACTAAAACATCTCCTAAATAATAAATAAGAACAATTTTAATATTTTTAAAATAATATAATATAAAATATGTGATAATACATCAGAAAAATATGTTACTTTAATAAGGCAATATAGTTAAAATACTATGGATAAATACTATAAATAAAAATATTAATTTTATGTTAAATAATAGTTTATTTATTATTATTATTATTATTATTATTATTTTTAATAGGTTATGAATTTTATTAGTTTAGTTTTAATGAGTAATATTATAATAAATTAAAAAAGATTTAAGTTAAACTTTAATTTATTGTTGATTAAAATGATAAAAAATAAACTTCCTAGTTTCTATTTTTTTTTAAATGATATGTTTTGATGAAATAATACTTGAAAATATAAATTAAATAAAACAGTAATACAATACTTTTTAGTTTTTTACTCTACCTGTTTGTAATTTCCCTTCTAACCATGCCGGTCCATTTGGCACAACAGATTTTATTTGAAGAAATTCTTCTTTAGAATCATCTCCACCAACAATAGTGAATCCCAATCCTCGAATTGATTTAACAAGAGTTGATCGAATCCGTTCTCCTACTAGTTTGTGTGGATTAGTAGTAAATAGATTGCTACTGATACCAGGATCTAATATAAAAAAATAAAATTATAATTTACTTTTAAAACTTCAGATATTTAAATTATATTAAAAAAAACAAACCTTGTTTTATTGAGTTAATATTTTCAAAACTATTTGAGGTATAATTTGGAATATTATCTTGTTCATCGTTAATTTGATCTCCTTAAATAAAAATGGAATACTTATTGATTGTTAATAAAATTAATACGCTAGATATATTTTACCATGTATAGCATTTTTAGCTTGTAGCACTGGATTTTCATATTGTGTTTGTCTATTCACATGATCAATGTAGTATGTTCCATAAAGCGGATCATCAATTCTTTCCCAGCCATATGGTAGTTCATCATCAGAACAGTCTTCTAATTGTTTCTTTTGAAACTTTGATAACCTTGGATCTAACCAGTGTGATGTACTAGAATTATGACTATAATAAATTTTAAAACCCACTATTAATACAACAAAAACAACATACTCCATATATCAAAGAAATATACATTTTTTAATTTATAAAAGTCTAAAATCTTATCTTTACTGATAATTGGTCATTTACACATAGGTATATCATCATACTTCTAGAAAAGTTAGTATATGATTTAACTGAATAGTTATATTTAACAGGTAAACATCAACAATTTTAACTAAAAGTTCACATTACTGTACTAATAATTTAATTTAAAAAAAACAAAATTTTAATACAAAATTTATGTTTTAATTTTTACTAGCAAAAATATACTTATTAAAAGAACTTACTTTATACATTTTTTGATAAATGTATAAAAATTAAATTATTTCCAGGTTGAAAATTATTTCAAAAAATGTACATAATATCCTATCTTTGTTGTACATTTAACCACAATAATAATGAAAAATAAATACTTACTCAATAAAATAAACTTCACCATTTTTTGTATAGGCTTTTTCCCATTTTGGTGGGAGTGGTCCTAAATCCAAAGTATCCGATAACGTCGAGTCTCTTGAATGATTATATCCAATATTTTTAGTGCTAGGTCCGTTTAAGTATTCTTCTGAAACCAACATAAATTTAAATAAATTATAAAAAATAGGTATAGACATATTCAGTATACTTAATTATAATAATTATAAATGATTATTGAGTACAATTCAGTTAATACATTAAAACAATAAAATAATTGGTTTAATGATTATAGCTGAATTCAAGTCAAATAAATTAAAATCATAATATTTATTAGATACCACATTAAACTTATTTTTAAAATAAAAAAATAAATATTAAAAGTAAAAAAAAAATATTATGTAATAATAATAAAAATGTATTATTTGTATTTGAAAACTATATAAGAATATTTAATTAAATAAAATTAAGTTTATTAACATAATCCATACACCTATCAAACAGCTTGAATACCTATATGAATAATTTTTATTAAAAAAATGTTTGTCGCCATTTTTTTATAATATAAAATAGTATCATGCAAAAATATTACTTAAATTATGATGATACATTTTTAAATCTAGTCTTTGTTTTTATTTTTTTACTGATAATTTAAATACAAGTGTTAAAGGATCCAAAACTGTTTTTATATCACCATATAAACATGATAAATTACCCTTAAAAAGAATTTTTATATTTATTTATTTACAAAACAAACAAATTAATTGATAACAAAACTTTTATCTGAGACTTTATAACAATAATTTGTACCAAACAGATAATTTTTTTTTTTTAATTCTAGTTTCCTAAATATATTTTTATATTTATAGAAATAAATAATTATTTTCATAAAGTTATGAAAGTATACACTACTTATCTATGAGAAAAAAAAATTGAGTACTTACCGTTATTCATTGGATGTTGAAGCTTATCTTGCATGTTTTCCATATTCATGGTATTTAATTATATATTGTTTCATTTGATCATTAAAACATTCTATTTTTTAAGTTAATAATAATTTATAATCATAGGACTTATAGAACAATTCTTCAAGAAATGTATAGTTGTATTCTGGATTTCAATAATACATAATTATCTAAATAACAAAAAAAACATAGTATAAAAAAATATAAATGATAGTTACAGGTATAGAGAATAACTATACAATAAAACTTTCATTAAATGCAATTTTCTGTTTAATAAAATATTTTTGAAAATCAAACCAAATTGAAATTAAATTTATATAATTCTATTTAAAAATTTTATCTGTAATATGTCATTACGAGACTTTGTAATACCTATGGACGTTACACTGAATAATTTATATTTAACAATCATTTCAAACTTTTATTATAAGTTATAGTTATAATATAATGTTGTCCTATCTGAAAACATTTACCTAATTTTAATGACAGTATTTTTACATCAATCTACATGAAATGGTACATATAATGTCCTTAATTAAATATTTTTACAGTTAGCGCATTTAGTATTTAAAAAAAAAAACATTTAATTTAGCAGCATATTTATTTTTTCTAATGAATTGAATACTTCATTATTAGTTGAAAATTTTCTATTATTCATACACACGCAATCTAAAGAATATCTACAAATTCATATTTACATGTATATCAAGTATACGATTTCTACACGACATTAAATAGATTATCATGTTTGAAATTAAATGTTATCATAAGACATAAGAGCAGTAAGAATTAAATAAATAACTAAAACACTATAACTCTCAGCCGTATTTAAACTTCGTCTCAAGGCAGTAGATATGTTTCGGCGACGTACCAAAGAACACGAGTGTTGTTAAGCCGTCATAATTTTATCGCTGTATTTCCAGTAAGGAAATAATGATACGTACGGTGTATAATACACCGTGCACTACTTGACACGAGTACGAAGTGATGTGCATTAATTGAGAGACGATCGCGATAATTCTACAACAGTTAGTGCGGTATCTACTTACTCATTTTCTAGCGACTCCAGTGTGTGTCTAAACTCGTCGACGTAAAGCCACCGAAATGAAACGATGACGGATTTGCGTCGACCGAGTGACGAACATATTAAGGTCGCGTCTAACGGGTCGGATAAACGAAAAACTGGCGGTTTGTGCGAGGGCAGAAATGCTGAGTATGTGTGCGTGTGTATGCGCGTATGTGTATGTTTGTGTTCGCGTGTTTGTGTGTGTGTGTGTGTGCGTGCGCGGGCGCGCGAGTACGGAGAATAGAAAAATTTAATAAAAAAAATTTGAAATCATATATTCTAACGAGCGAAATAAAAAATTTACAAAACGAAATGAACGTAACAACTCGAACCAAATATTATGATTCACCGTGAACGGTTCGAAAATATTTAGGTTTCGATAACACGAGGGGAGTGCCTCCGTCGGGCAACACGGACTACATTAACACTATTAAGCATTAACAGTGGTCACCATGGTGAACGTGCCAGCAGGTGTCAGCAACCGCACAGCGCCAGCAGCTACGTCATGTCGTCATGGCATCCCCTGATCCTAATCACTAATCAGTGATAAACGTTAACCGCTTTTGTTTATTTGATATTAACATAGTCATTTGTCAACGATTATTATAATATTAGTAATATCACCGAAATAATAATATAATGTAAGTTTTAATTAAATTAGTATTCGTATTTAAGTCGTAAAATGATTAATGATAATTGAATACCTATATAATTAAGTTTTTTACTTCATATTATATAAAAGTATTATTTTGTTCAGTGTTAAAAATGTGAATGTGTTTTACTCTAATAATTACAGAAAAAAATAGAAAACTATTGATAATCAATTTAATAGTAATAATTGTGAAAGTGAAATTGTAAAAATAAACTATTATTAAAAAATTGATTATTACCTACTAGTAACATTAGATGATTTGTTTGTCTTGTATTAAAATCAATGTTTACATTTTTGTGTATGACTACACTTTAGACTTTATCCTTGAAATATTTGAAAGATAATGCTTTAAAACAGTTTTATTGAATATTAAAATAAAAAAAAAAAATCAGGAAACTCACTTTACTCTATAATATCAAAGTATTGAGTCTAGTTTAGTTCTTGCTTTTAAATTTAATGTCTTATCTATGAGCGTAATTATTTATATTGAGTTATTGGATTATCGTATTTGTATTTAAAATATTTTTATAACACGTATATATTATTGGTATAGATATATGTTAAATAATTTTCATTTGTTGACAGGTCTAATAAGTATTAATGTGTTTTAACAATTATGTCAATCATGGAAATACTTCAAATTATCAATGTGAAAAACCATTACCTAATAAAAAGTTGTTTGGTAATATCTTTAGTTACTGTTACAACTTGGATGACAACAATTCTAAGGAAAAAAAACAAAATAAGACAGAACGATAATGCTCAACAATTTAATAGCGATAAGATAACTTCAATTCCATTGATTGTTATAACAGGTTGTGACACAGGTCTTGGATATTCAATTGTTATGAGATATTTAAAAGGGAAACATCTTAATAATAGTCATAAGAATAGAAAAATACATGATTTGTTATTTTTCAATAATAAAGCACCAATAGTCCCAAATAGAATTGCAATAGTTGCATTTTGTTTGAATCCTAATAGTCCAGGTGCTAAATGTTTTCAACAACTATCACTTAAAAATGATAATATTCAATTGTTTGTTAGACTTTTGGATTTAACTGATATTGATTCTATTAAAACTGGTGTGAATTTTATTAATGATCTACTCCAACAAAACGTTGATATAATTGATTCACATAACAAAACAGCTTGTTTAAAATATGGTATGTACAAAAGATAAAATTTTAAAAAGCTAATTTAAAAATCAAACCAATTTTAGAACTACATGCATTAGTCAACAATGCAGCACGAATGGTGATGGCAGAATTTGAATGGCAAACTTCAAAAATGGTAAAACAGCAATTTGAAGTCAATATTTTGGGTCCAATAATGTTAACTGGAATGTTATTGCCAATATTTCGAAAAGACAAAAGTAAAAATTTCTAAAATATTATCTTTATCGCATATTTTTATCCTGTACTTAATTTAATTAAATAACAATTCTAGTATAAACATGAATAAAATAAACTATAGGTCGTGTGATAAATGTAATTAGCCATTGTGCTTATCTCCCACTTCCTGGAATATCTCTTTATGGTGCAACAAAAGCTGCTGTGCGTGCATGGACAATTGGATCAAGAGTTGAACTTGAAAGTCACGGCATAAAAATGATCACATTTTCCCCAGGTAGCAATACAGTTTTACATGATAAAATAAATAAAATTTAACACAATAATTATTGTTTAATTTAAGGATCGTTTTATCTTCATTCTTCTATTATGAATGGTGAACAAAGAATAATTGATTATAAGGATATGCGTGATAATATGAATAAAGAACAATTGGCTTATTATGGTGCTTATATGCAAGCCTATCAAAATTACTTGAGTACAATTGATGCATACATTAATCCTCCAGAAATAACAATTCCAAGCACTAGTAAATTATACTCTCTGATGGATAATGCGTTGTGGGCAATCCAACCCAAAGCTGAGTACAATGTACCTGAACCTTGGCGATATAAAATCTATTTTGCTGTTGCTTGGACTCTATCATCATTAGGTTTACATTATTTCAAAGATAAAGTTGTACGTAAATTTGTGGCTACACCACAATTTCATAGTAATATTGCAAGTCAAGTTGAAAATTTTTAATAAATATGATTCAAAACTTATAAAATGTTCATATTATCTATAATAAATACAGATAAAATATGGTGTAGTGATGTATTAATGTAAAATATTTCAGAATAATAATAAAGTGAGTTCAAATATGAAATTGATTTTGCATATTTTTGCATATTTAGTGTGTTTAGCATATTTTATACATTTTGCTTTAATAAGACAAATATTTTCATATTATATTTAATAGTTCAGTAACAAATAGAAAATTAATAATTATTAAAAAATACTGATTCAATATTAGATTTAAAATACATATCAAGGCTTTTGTTTAAGTTTTGGTATGCTAACAAAGGCGTTTTTATGAAAAATAAGTGCAAATAAGTACTTTTAATTCAAAAGCTAAATTATTTATAAATTAAAAAAAAAAAAAATGAATAATGTGAATCTAGTTTTTAAATTATGCAATTTAATAAAGTAATTTATAATTACAAAACCGTGATTATAATATTATTATAATCAGGTGTGTCACTTAAAATTTATGTTGAGAAGTAGTGTTAGTTCCAAAGCTCCCTTCCCCTTAGGTATGCCATTGCCAGAGGTATAGGCTTGTTTATGGGCATTTTCGATCATGCATATGCATGACTTATGAAACTTGATGAAATATGTGTATATTTCATCAATAATGCAATTCCTTTTTTATACTAATGATGATTATAATTTTTTATTTATTTTTCCCGTAATCACAATAATACAAAAATAATTTTCTATTTCATAATTTGACGTTTAAATTCCTTACTTTCATCTAGTTTAACACTCTTATATGTATTAAGATTGTACTAGACCTGTAAAAAAGGTCTGAACGCGCATATGGCTCTAGGTAATGAACTAATAACACCATACTTATTTATTATATCAGTATTACGATTCATTGAGCTCTCACAATCATATTCTAGATTTTGAATTATACACTTGGCATTTTTAAAGCATAAACAAGTATTAATAAGTACATTTTTAAATTGCATAGCCAATGTCATTTTTAAATCAGGTAACTTTGGGTCGTAGTTTAAGATTTTGTTCATTTTTGTAGTTCTATGTTCCACATATTAAATAAAACACTGAAGTATCTACCTACTTACTCAGGCAAATAATTTCTTAAAGAATGTTAAATGTTAAAATTGATTTAAATAAAAAACAAAATTTGTATGTTTACATACTAGTTTTTTTATTAGAGTGTGTTAATTTTTGTCGTATATTTATAAATAGGTTATTGTTTGTGAAATTCTTCGCCTTTTTTGTCAATGTACTCCATCAATCGGATATTGTTAGGCTCATATACACCATTAGGTGTTTTAATAGTACGTAAAAATTGTACAACTGAAATAGCTTGCATTTCATCAAAATCGCTTGAGTCTGCTTCTGGCTTAGATGCTAATAGTACTATAAAATTTATCGCTTCTTCAAGATTATCCATGAGATTGGTGTCATTAGCTGGAGCAGTTTCATCTAACCACTTTTCATATTCGTTTTGCGTTTCACCTACATAAAAATTATATAATAAATTTAAAAATTGTTGAATAAATAGTTTAAAAAAAGTAGGTAATAGAATAAAGTATGTTCCTAACTGCTCAGAAATACAGTATATGTAAATGAATCTACACATGTATATCTCTACACTATGTTAATGTCTGTGTATAAAACATTTTCTACCTATATATTTATAATATATTATGTTTAATATTAAACTTATAATAGGTATTACAATTGTGTTAATTTATTCTTTAGAATTTTCAGTTAGGCATATTAAAAATAATTTATGAGGAACCTTGCATTAATGCAGGTCCGTTCAAATACACCAAGGTAAACCTGTGTTTTGTCACCTCTCACAATATTTATACACCTACCTATAAATAATATTTATTTCATTAAATATAATATGTTTATACCAACTAAACTAAAATCAACATACTTCTGTTTAGGCATATTATATTTATTGAAATATAAAAATTAGTTGTTTTCGTATAACAATTAACTAATTAATACAATTATAGACTAGTAAACCTCTATCAGTTTAAGTTAGTTACGTTTGTGTGTTAGTAAAAACAAATAGCGTCAGTTCACCAAATTATCAAATCGAATTCACTATGTACTAAACTAAAATTTAACATTTTTATTGTGGATAATAAACAATAGTTCTTGTGTTATCATAATAATAGTATGAATAAAGAGAAAAACAATTAACATAGGTACAATATAGGTATTTAAAAAATAAATTCAATTGGTAATAAATTAAATTAAACACATATCTGTTGAGAGTGTAATCTTTGTAAACATTAATAATATTAAAATTTTAAATGCCTCCCTTCAAAAAATATCGCTTTAGGTTTGTACTTATGTCATCTGCTCTTTAAGTTGATCCTGTATTAATATATATATTATCTACCGACATTGGTGACATTTATAGAAACAAAATAAAATGAAAGTATCAATTACCTATAAATAGCTCAAAAAGAATCAAAATATTTAATGATGTAGACCATGTGAATAAAAAATTATAATATTAAACATTTACTGAAATAATTAAATGTCTATAGACCTACAGTTATTCATTTCGAATTAGGTACATTAAAAAACAAAATCGATTTTGTCAGAAACGAAATTTGTCTAAAAATTTCTATTTTTCTTAAATTTATTTTTGCTTTTCTCGGTTATTTAGAAAAGTACTTATTTTTAACCTTTCAAAAGTACAAACCAGATTTAATTTTCTGCTAGAAACAACACTCAAAGTTAAAAATTAAAGTATTTTAAATATTTAAAAAATTATGACAAAGAAAACAAAGGATAAAAATACTTATTATTGTAAAATCAATACATTTATTGTTTGCTCAGAATTTAAAATAATTATGGCAGTTTAAATAATTTATTATCTTGTATAAAAATATTTTATTTAAATTGTATTTTTGTATTTTATAACATTTTAATTTTACCTGTACAGGAGAACCTTTATTTAACACATTTATATTAAATAAAAATTTCCATAGCGAAATATTTTATGGAATTATAACATTTTCATTCAAAAACGTCTCTATTTAATGAAAAAACTTCAACATTTTCTATTTAACTGTTTCATTTTGTGTTATTTTCCTACAAAATATTAAAAAAACTATTGTATTGTTACATTTAAATGAAGTACACTCTCATCAAACAAGTTTATTTAAATAAGTATGATCATTGATCATTCTTATAGTTAGAATAGTACAAAAGTCGTTCAACAGATTATTAGAAAGTTCTTAAACAGAAAAAGTAAAAGTAAATTTTTATTTACATACTTAATGTAAATTAAATGTATTTTTTTATTTTAATAAATTTAGTGATATCATACATACATATTATATATTACTATTTGTACACATTTCGTATAATAAAAACTAGCTTTTAAATGAAAAAAAAATTATTTTTTTTTTAATGAAATTTCTACCTACGAATTTTTTCAAAAAATTACTAAGATTTTTATTTAGAGGGTTACACTATGTATCAAAAAATCTAAGTAAAAACGTCATTATAAAATGTTTACAGTATATGTACTAATATATACTTGCTGAAAAGTTATAAAATTAAAACCAATTATATTTATCTATAATAGTAGGTATGTGTTTGCTTCTTTAGAGTAAAAAATGCGCTTTCTTCACTCAAATACACAAAATTTAAAGAATAACATTCAAGAAAAATCACAGTCCTGAGCCATTAATTTGAACTTCACACTAGTCATATAAAGAATATGATCTACAAAACTTTGAGTTACACAATTTTTTCTTAATCTTTTTTTATACTGTAGCTAAAGTTATTTAATTACTACGCTTAACTTAGTTGTTGGTAAGACAAGTAAAATACACTATGCATCAGTTCTATTATTATAATTTAAAATATTATGTGTTTATATACCATTATCTTCATTTTCAACTAGACATTTGTCAAATAGCGATTCCTGGGAAATTTTCGGCAAATTTAAATTTCTTATTGGTGTTATCGTCGGTGGTATTGGGTTTTTAACAACCGTCTTTTCAGTTCTAAATTTATTCTTTTCCATATCCTCTACTCTACTTATGATATTTTGGTATTGATCAAATTGGAGTACTTTATTCTTTTTTTCTTTTACATCTAATTTAATCTTCAAAAAACCACCAGGCCGTGGAGTTGGTCTAAAGCATGATAATCATATTAAAATGACATACGAATAAAAATTTAAGTATATATTTACGTAAATCCCATTTCTGTAACTTTTTTGTCTTCTCCTTGTTGTTTAGCCATTTTAAAGTTTGTTAATTATTTTCTCTTTAAATTTAAAATTAAAAAGAAATGTTCAAATACTTAACTTGAATTTAAAAAAAAAAAAGGTTTAATATATTACTTGTTAAAATGTTATAAAATTATTAGTTTATGTTATCTACTGTTGTTACTGTTTTCTAAATATTTATTGATTTACCAATATATTTAGCCAGTAAGTAAATATTTATTTCCTTATTTTTTATTGTAATTATAGAATAAAAAATTAAAATTAAAACATTAACATATAATTTATAATTGTAAATATATTTTAATTTAATTTAAAACTTAATTATTTTATTTTTTCCGTATATAATAAATCTACTGTTCTCAATTCTTTTTTAAATTAAATTTTATTTTTAGAAATAATTTCAATATACCTACATATAGTTATAGTTACATACATTATATAGGTACATATTTACATAAATACGTTTAAGTTTAATGTTATAAAATGTTGTAGAAACATATAAATGAAAATTCTTAAAATAATATCTATTTTTTTTTCTATGGTTGTTTAAAAATAAAAAATATTTACTAAATTAAAATTCTTGAAAGTAATACAAAATTTCCCATAAGTAGTTCATAAGTATAATTTATACATTTAACTATAAAATCTAAAAATTATGTAAAAGTAATTAATTTTTATAAATATTTTATGTTCAAGTTTAAAAAAAATCACTTATTTAAATTTTAAACAATTAATAACAACTTTATTTTATTTTGTTATAATTAAAAAAAAAATTACACGAGGGAACTTAAAATG